AGACTGGGAACAGCCAGTTGGTGAAGCAGTCAGACACATATACTTATTAAGTTTGTAGTCATTTGGTCATAGTTCATGGCACTCCCAATTACAATAGCAACATTAAAGATCACTGGTGACAGATCGCCATAAGCAATATAATAATGATGAAAAAGCTTGAAATATTATGAGAATTACCAAAATGTGACACAATGACACAAGGTGATAAAATGCTGTTGAAAGAATGACACCAACAGACTTGCTTGATGCAGGGTTGCCACAAGTCTTCAATTTGTAGAAAACAACAGTATCAGAAAGTACAATGAAGTAAGGCATAATAAAACAAAATATGCCATATTTATTCTCAAGCAGTTTACCAGAAATGTTAATACTTTGCCCAAGTTTGCAGTTTTTGGAGACAAGAACTATGCTAATGTCCAATACTTTCAAACTGCAATCTGTGTATTTATGATGAAGTCTTTGTTGATTTTCTACTTTCTCTAAGTACTTCCAGCTTTTGTAGATATTATGGGACTCAAAGTATTTCACAATAGTTGTTTCAGTTAACCTTATCTCCATAAATTCCTATGGGAAGCAGCAGATTAATACATTTGGGAGCCCAGGGTTTAAGACCCTAGAATTGTAGCCTGGCTTTACTAAATTCTGTTCTATGACCTTGGGCATGGTATTTTATCGCTTTGCACCTCAGAGTCTTCATCTGGAAAATGAAAAAGTATCAGAAGTATTATGGGAGTGAGAATTTAATGAGGTATTCTTCGTCAGGTAAACACAGAAGTACCAGGCAGGCAGAGAGTAAGTGCTCAGTAATTGTCAGCCATTGTTCTGTACCTCCTATTGCCCCTTAAGCATTAAGCATGCAATAAGCATCATTTGCATACTTTCTCCTTTTTAACAGTTCTTTGAAATATCTGATTTGATTTATAAGCTGCCTTAGTGTTGAGTGTATAATTTAATTTGAAAATTAATTGAAATATTATATTCCAAGTGTTATTTTAGCAAATTTGAAGTCCCTGATTAACAGCTCTTGAAGAGATGGAAATACACAGAATTTACAATATTTTTTTTTAAAAAACTTGGCTTTTAGGCACATTCTTTCAGATGTACCAATTTTAGCTCTACTACTCAAACTGTATTAAATTCAAAAGTGTAGTAACATGATAGATACAAGGTCTTGGGCTGGATTTCAAAAATACCATCTAGTTCCACTGTGTTGGTAACATTAAATAAAAGTAAATATTTAATTGTGTGATATATGTGCAATATAAAGATATAGAATATAAAACTATGAAAACTTATATGAGAAGAAATATACCAATGAAGTAATGCTATCTGTATTTCATTAACTAAAGGTAATGAAAGTTCCTATGAGGGAGAATTCCTATTTAAATGAAAATTGCATGAGAAATAAAGTTGGAGACTGAGGTTATTGAAAAATATACACAATATTTTTACACCCTTTGAAGTAAAAATTTATCTAAGATGAACTATATAATTGGATTCTCTATCAGAGTTCACATACTTGTAACAAGTAAAAATAGGTACAAGGCATTCCACTTCTATTTACCAAACACGCTCAACAGAAAAATTTCAGGGTCTACTCTCCTTGAAATTCCAATGAGATTTATACAATGCATTTTATTGGCTGCATGATATCTTCTGATTTACAATTTAGAATTGTTGATCCTTATTTTATACACAGGGTAATTAGAAAACTTGAATAACTTTATTCCTGTAGTATTTGCTCTGTCAAAGTTAAGTGCATGATGAAAAGCAGGACCAACCAGGCAGTGTTTCATACTCATCTCAAGCCTTTCTCATTCAGACAGTCAAATATTTCTAAGAAATAGTTTATTCTAGAATCTTCCATTTCTCTTAGCCATAAAACTCTACCAGTTGTCAAGTCTTATCAGTCTTAAATCCTGTCTTCTAAATAGTCCTTTTCCTCCATAATCATCTCTATTACACAGTTTTGTAAAATAACTTCCATGTTCTTTTGATTCTAGTATAGGCATCATCAAACCAACCTACATATTTATAGCCTGAAGAATAAAACCCAGATTTGTTTATAAGATTTTTTTATACATACACAAAGCACACGCAGAATGCCTGACATATAGAAAGATCCCATTTTAAGGCAGAACAGTATTATTTTCTTCTTAAAATCCCCTTCCTAAATTGCCACAATACTTCTCGTCTTCAAAATAAAAAATCTTTTGCCCTGATTGACTGGTACAATGAGTTTGCTGCTAGAAAGCTAGACTCCAAGTGGCTTAACAAGAAGGCTATTTTGAATTTCAAATCACGTGGAATTTAGAGAAAGAGTGGGCTCTGGGCTAGCAGGTACCTCAGAGGTCAAGCCCTGCTTCTCAGGTGTTTTGGCTCTACCTATGTGAGTTAATTATGCTCAACCTGACTCCTTTCATGTTTGCAAGAGAGATTCCAGTGGTACCTATAGAACAGAAGTCTCACCCTGCTTGGAGAAAAAGTGTTTCTCTTTTCCATGAAGCAAGGAAGTTTTTCTTTGATTTCCTGTTTAGACTCATTACTCCTAGGACAATCATTAGAGAAAGACTGAAATTACTGATAGGTATATCACTATCTGGGCTTCCCAGGTGGCACTAGTGGTAAAGAACCTGCCTGCCAATGCTGTTGACTTAAGAGAAGAGAGTTCGATCCCTGGGTTGGGAAGATCCCCTGGAGGAGGGTATGGCAACCCACTCCAGTATTCTTGCCTGGAGAATCCCATTAACAGAGGAGCCTGGCAGGCTACAGTCCATGGGGTCACAAAGAGCTGGACATGACTGAAGCAACTTAGCCTTCACATATCACCATCTGGAGAATAATGAATATTAAAGAGTCAATCATGTATTCTCTTCATATAACATATCTAACTTTTAGATGCTATAGTCCCAGTTTGCTTATACATAGTCTAAATGCTAATCACAACAAACTACCTCAGGTTTCCTAAATGTTATGCTCTTCCTTCCCATTAGGCATTTTCCCACTTTTGCATTCTTTAAAGGTTAGCTCAAGTCCCAACTTTTCTGGATACATTTCCTAATTCTACCAGGCTGACTTAAGAACACCTTTCTTATGATCCTGATTACCTCAGCACAGTATTTCACAATCTCCTGCACATTGAGATTATCTGGAGAATAATTTCAAAATAGTGATGGCTGGAGACCACGCTCAAATACTCAAACATCCTGATTCAGTTGGTTTGGGAGGGAGCCTGGACATGGGGAATATTTTAAAACTTCTCAGTGATTCTACTGTAAAGTTATGGTTGAGAATCCTGCTCTAACATATCACTTGCCCTCTGTGATTATTATTACAAATTTGTTTTTCTCTTCTTGGCTGTGAGCTTTTGCAGATAGGACTAGTTTTTCACCTTTGCAACTCAAGCACCTGAGAAGTGTCTGATACAAAGTCAGTACTCAAAATCAGTTGATGAAAAAAAGGCTGAGTTTTTAAAGATAGTCATTTCAATTCAATTTAGCAGGGATTAGCTGAACCTTCTACTGTGTGCTGGACTCTATTGGAGATGGAGGTATACACAAGTCAGCAATACAGTGTCAGCCTTCAGGGAAACATAATTCAAAGGGGTGCTCAGAAATGAGCATACTGATAGTTGCCTTTTAAATTACTCCACAAGAATAACCAATAATCTCAAATGACATCAACATGTCATTCTTTTCTTCAATCATACTCATGCTAAAAGTAACTGAATAAATAATATAATAGCCAGGACATGGAAGCAACCTAGATGCCCATCAGCAGATGAATGGATGAGTAAGCTGTGGTACATATACACCATGGAATATTACTCAGCCATTAAAAAGAATTCATTTGAATCAGTTCTAATGAGATGGATGAAACTGGAGCCCATTGTACAGAGTGAAGTAAGCCAGAAAGATAAAGACTAATACAGTACACTAATGCATATATATGGAATTTAAAAAGATGGTAATGATAACCCTATATGCAAAACAGAAAAAGAGACATAGACGTACAGAACAGACTTTTAGACTCTGTGGGAGAAGGCGAGGGTGGGATGTTCTGAGAGAATAGCATTGAAACAAGTATACCATCAAGGGTGAAACAGATCACCAGTCCAGGTTGGATGCATGAGACAAGTGCTCAGGGCTGGTACACTGGGAAGATCCAGAGGGATGGGATGGGGCATTGGGATGGGGAACACATGTAAATCCATGGCTGACTTATGTCAATGTATGGCAAAAACCACTACAATACTGTAAAGTAATTAGCCTCCAACTAATAAAAATAAATGGAAAATAAATAAATAAAAGTAACTGAATGCAAAATTTTAAGAAATAAGGTCTTACAAGTATATATGACTATGTAAAGACTAACTATAAATAGTTCCCTTTCATTTTTTCTTTATTTAAATATTTAATATATATGTTCCTATTTTTATCTTAGCTCCAAAATAAATATACAAAAAAAAAAACCTCTAATAAGTCTTACTTTGGTTCAATATCCAAGCAAAGGCAGGTGTTCACTAAATAGAATGTGAAAATTAAAAGCAGTCTAACTGCAGAAAACCCTTTGAGCCACAAGTTTAAAGTTTTTAATGGTTTTACAATCTTCTCAAGCTGTCAATGGAAAAAAGTGACTTGACATTGAACACATACCAAGTCAGTAGCATAACTATTTTACAATGTCTGATTGGCCATTGAAAAAATAGTTTAAAATTCAATCCATGTGATGGAAATGCCACTTAGAAAAAGACCATTCATATTGCAGAGCTGCAGGAAAATTGTGGTTGTAACAGTTCCCTTCTCATTCAGCAACAGGATTCTTAAAGAATTACAAATGGAATGGTTCCTAAAATATTACATATTGGGTATTAGTAATATAAATTTTACCATCATAAACTTCATCATTAGTAAGAAGGAAAAAATTATTATTTTTCCATCCTATGGGTTAAAATGATTCCTCACATTAAATGAAGATTCTCAGGTTAATTTATGGGTTACCTTTTGGCAATGTCCATTCATAAATCCACTAGGATATTTGCACAGTAATTTAACTGAAATATACTGAACACAAGTTGTTCCTGTTTCTCACAGTAGATGTGGTTTTCCTAGTCATCCGTCCAACTTCCATGAGTATTGGTCGTAGATTCTGAATTCTATTTGGAACTCTATGAGTAGATACAGATGCATTAGTGATTATAGGTTGCCGAAACAGAATTGGTTGCTTCATCGGGTTTACATGCTGAATAACCCTCTATACCCCTTCTGTAAAAACAAGTGAATATAATAAGGAACTAAATCAAATGGTGAATTTTAAAATTCAATATCTGCAAGGAAAATTGTTATGAAAAGCTAAGTAGACTTAACCACATTTAGATCAGATCCATCTCATATATCTCAGTACTAGACAGTTCCAAGGCCTAAACTTTCAACTTTTAAATTTGTGTTAATTTCAGCTACATGTAAATTACCTAGTTTTGAGAAATCCAAACTAACTGATTTTCTTTTATGCCTATTTTCTTATCTACATTTGGGCTTTTTTGTTCTTAATTATTAATAGCAGTTTCCAAAATGAAAAGGGACAAAGAAAGAAAGCATTACAAGTCAAACAGGATTGGCCGTATCTTGGTTATTAGCTCTGAAAATAATTTTAGTAGAAGGTTAAAATTAGTGGATAAAATTAAAAATTCAGATACTTTGTGAATTTTTAAGATTTCTTTTATACGTTTCCTGACCATTGCTCATATCAGCAATTAGTCCTACCAGATAATTATTTGCTTATATAAAATGAATTTTTATAAAATTCTATAAAATGAAAAATCTATAAAATGAAATTAAACATTAAAATCTACTTTAATAATTGTATGTTGATAACTAATAAAAATTCCTGTGAAGTACTGAGAGATTTTCAAAGACAAAAGAGTTATAAGGTGATGTCCTTAAAGTACTTTGAGACCTGGAAAGGAAGCTAATTTATAGTTACATTCATTTTCTGATATAATTTCAATTTACTTAGTTCCTTAAAGAAAACATACCACTAAGGTTTCATTTTGCTTTTTAAATGGACTTTTTTAGGTTCACAGAAAAATTAAGCAGAAAATTACAGAGCTCCCATTTAACCCTTGCTTTCACACACATGGAGCTTCCCCCACTATCTACATGCCCCACTAGAGTGGTACATTTATTATAACTGGTGAACCTGCATTGACACATCATTATCACCAAAGTCCATAATTTACCCTAGGACTCATTCTTGGTGTTGTACATGCTATGGGCTTTTACAAATGTGTAACGACATCTGTACACCATTACAGAATCACTAGAATAGTTTCACTCTCCTAATTATCCTCTGTGCTATGCCTGCCCATCCCTCCCTTCACATAACCCTGGCAATTAACCACTGATCTTTATTCTGTCTTCATAGTCTGTCCTTTCTAGAATGTCATATAGTTGGAGTTATAGAGCACATAATCTTTTCAGATTGGCTTCTTTCACTTACTATGCATTTAAATTTCCTCCATGTCTTTTCATGTTTTCGTAGTTCATTTCTTTTGGGCACTGAAAAATATTCTAATGTCTGGACATACCACAGTTTATGTATCCACTCATCAGTGAAGGACATGTTGGTTACTTCTGAGTTTTGGCAATTATAAATTTAACTGCTATAAACATTTGTGTGCAGTTTTTTGTGTAAACATAATTTTCCAACTCATTTCAGTAAATACCAACTAGTGTGACTGTTGGATCATATGGTACTATGTTTAGTCTTCCAAAATGGCTATACCAGTTTGCAATGGTTGCTTCACATTATTGTCAGTATTTGGTGTTGGCAGTGTTTGGATTTTGCCATTGTTATATAGTTGTAACTCGTTGTTCTAACTTTCAATTTCAAATGATATAATGTGGAGGGTCTTTTCACATGCTTATTTGCCATCTTCTTTATATATAAAATATTAGGGCCTGCTATGCATGCATGCTTAGTTGCTCAGTCGTGTCTGACTCTTAGCAATCCTTTGGGCTACAGCCTGCCAGGCTCCTCTGACCATGGGATTTTCCAGGCAAGAACAGTGGAGTGGGTTGCCATTTCCTTCTCCAGGGCATCTTCTTGACCTAGGGATTGAACCTGGATCTTCTGTGTCTCCTGCATTGTAGGTGGGTTCCTTTACCTGATGAGCCACTGGGAAAACTGCAGGCTTCTTTGGATTTCCCAGGTGGCACTAGTGGTATCTTCTTTGGGGAGATGTTGGCTCAGGTTTCTGACCTATTGTTTAGTTGGCTTGTTTACTTTCTGAGAGTTTTAAGGGTTCTTTGTATATTTCAGATCACACTATTTTATCAGATTTTTTATCAGATATTTTCTTAGTTTGTCTTTCTTAGTTTGTCTTATTGTACTCTTTTGACATTTTCATTCACAGAGCAGAAGATTTTTTTTTCTTTAAATTATAATGAAGTCCAACTTCTGAAGTCTTTGTTTCCTGAATCATGCATTTGGTACTGAAACTAAAAAGTCATCAACATATTCAAGGCCATCGAGATATTCTCCTGTTATCTTCCAGGAATTTTATAAATTTACATGTTATACATTTAGTTCTCTAATCAATTTTGAGCTATTTTTTGCAAAGCAGGTAAGGTCTACATCTAGATTCATTTTTCTGCATGTGGATATTCAGCTGTATTAAGGTTTTAATGTTTGTATTGTGATCTGTGTATTTGTGATAGCATCATTTAAAATTTCATTATATTTATTTACAAATATATTGTAAAGTTAACTTTTAGGAGTAGCTATTAAGGCAAAATAATTAATTATAAGCACAGCATTTATGAAGTGAATATCCCTTATAAAGGCGTGAGACAAATATGTAATACTTCTACAGAAATCAGCAGGAACATTGAAAACATTTCCCTATTACATTTTAAATTAAATCTTACAGAATTATATTTTCCTGAAGAAACAGTGAACAGTGATTTCACTATCCACTTGAGTAGTGATAGAAATCATTTATTGGATTAATTCATAAGCCAAACCTAATTCATAATGTTAAACCTAAGCCAAAAGAAATGCCGTCTGTAAACAGGATTGGTATAGTTCCTATTTTAAAAACCTACGTCATTGCTTTATATAAATAATGGGAGAAAGGAAAAGCAAGGATGATAAACATCTAACATGTTCATTCAACCTCTAATTTCAACAGTTTATATGGCAACCACTATATACCTACTTCAAGCATTACTGCTAAAAAATATTCTAAGTCTAGAAGCTTGCTTTAGAAGTTAATTATTCATCCTTTAACAAATAGTGGAAATGAATGCACAGTTACCACAAAAAGAAGTGTGGCTTAAAGGGATTTTAAAAGTCATTGTCTGTTGCTGTGAAATATCAAATGTCTTTTCCTCAATAGACAAATAATATCCTTTTTACTGTGCACTGTTAAAATCAATTGTTGAAAAGTAAAAGCAGTGGTGTGTGGGTGTATGTATGTATGTGCATATGCATGCTATTTTTTCATGTATATGATAAAGTAAATAGAGAAATTTTCTTCAAGACTTTGAGAATTACATATTTACACCTCTTCCTAAATCAGGTATAGCAAGATGGTGTTAAAAGTGATGGAAAATACCCAGAAATGAGGGGAACAGAAATCACTGACAAAAAACTTATGTGATATAGAGAAAAGAGTTAAATATGTGTGTAAAGAAGTTAAATCGATCAAGTTTTTCTTGGATATAGCTCCATGCACACACTATTTCAATAACTTGTTCTTTTGGGGGGTATAAAAACATATTTTGTTTTTTCTCTTAGGTATGTTATTAAAATAAGCAGATTTCCCCTTTCTCTTTCCTCTCAATTTCTGATCCATTTTGCAATCCCCCACTGATTCCATGTCAGCATGGTCTGTTTTTGACTAGACAAATAGTACACAGATTTATTCCTACAGAAACAATCTCTGGTAAAATCATAGAGTGTCTGCTTAAAAAATACCCAAAAGTTAACTGCATGCTTTCCACTAGCCAGAAATAACTCACAGCAAATGGATCCACAAACCAGTCAATGGAATATTATAACCCTCTTAGGGGAGCCGTTGTACTATGAGAGAAATCTGAAGCAGTGAATCAGCCTTTACTACACACACTCACACACACACACACACATACACACACACACAGTGTATGGTATTAACTGCAGTAACAAAAAGACTGTAGATCTGCAAAAAATTTCCACTTGAAGCCACATAATTCTATCTTAATATTACTTTCATTTACACTGTAACATGGTGATAACTTTTAAAATAATTTTCATTTACTACTGTCGCAACACTGACAAAGATCTGGGTTGCAATGATTTCAAAATAAGAATGGGCTGGTGTTACTTCTTAGATATAAATCAGCATGGATTGAAAAATTGGTAATATGGGATATGTGTTCCTTAAATTCCAGAGCTTATTTCAGGGGGAAAAAAATCTCACACTTGCAGTGCATATAGGGATTCTATATTTCTGAGATTAACTAAGAATTAATTTGACAAATTTTTCACTAAAATCACTTTGGAATTTGGTGGCAAAGCTAGGGTTGCAAGTGTGGAAAAGTAAATATGGAAATAGAAACTTTTAGAAGTAAAACTAAAATGTGCTACATGGGGAAAATCACTGATTTTTCAAGTCACGATGTTTGACCACTGTTATATCATGGATCTGCCAATGCGTAGATTCATTGTGTTATGATGACATGCTGTGTTATAATTTTTGTGTTATTTTTGGAAGCTCATTTTGAAACTCTGTGATCATACTGGGAAAAGACCTAATGTGTCTGAAAACAAAGGAATGCAATTTTTAAGGAAATAAATGTACAATTAAAAGCAGAGACACACTCTCAATTTGCACCAATCCAATTTAAATATGTCCCTTAAATCTAAATGTCATAAAGAATTAAGAGTATTCCTTCCAGCCTAGGGAGTTGGAAAATCTTTTCCCCTTCCGAAATGATATTCCAGGGGATTTCCAGATCTTTCTACCCTATTATACTTGATTGCTTTCTATTTCATCACCTCAAAATCTGATGTTGCCTAGAACATCTATACACTTACACAAAAATACACACGGTAACTACAATAACTATATCGTT